CCGAGAAACATGTGTACCAAGTTTTATCAAGATATCTAAATTTTTACTCAAGTTAAAGCTTGCACAGACGGACAGACAGCCTACTCCTCTCTTCATGGTGATCATTTTCCACGAATTTCAATTATATATCTCACAGATTGACCGATATTTTCGGCAAAAAGTCAGCCATACGCAGTGGGGTCCACATATTTGACGCCTGGGTTCTTGAAAAGATATAGTCTCCGGATCAAAGATGTTGTTGTGCCAAAGATACGCACCCGCCTCTGTGCAGCAAAGTACGGCCGTCAACAAACACAAACAACGTTCGATATCCAGAAGCTACAATCACCACAGATAGCTAAATAGTTTTCTAATCGACTTGCACTTCTGCTCTCTGTGAGCACTTATCAGCAACTCGGTGTAAGGGAACTGTGGGATGAGGATTGTCGTGTCGCAGTGGAGAGAAAGCGTGGAGTGTTGCGATCGACCACAGTACGATCAGGAGGGATAAATACCGAGAGATGAAGAGGCTATGTAATAGATGTTCCATTAACGACTATGAAGAGGTTCGAATAGCAATTACCGCCTGAAGAACAACAAAGCGGCAGGGGCCGATGGATTGCATGCCGAACTATTTGAATACGACGGCGCGGAACGGACAAGATGTATGAATCAGCTTCTTTGCAGGATATGGTCGGATAAAAATATGCTCCACATTTGGAACCTATATGTGCTCTACCCAATCCACAAAAAGGAGGACTCCACAATCTGCGCTAATTACCGTGGAATAAGCCTCCTTAATATCGCATATAAGGTCCCATTGAGCGTAGTGTGTAAAAGACTGAAGCCCACTGTCAACAAACTAGTTTGACCTTATCAGTCTATCTACTATCGACCAGATTTTCACCATGCGCAAAAACTTGGAAAAACCCCGTGAAAAAAAGTTCGACACACACCACCTCTTCGTCGATTTTAAAGCCGACCTCGACAGCACGAAAAGGAGCTTCCTTTATGCCGCTTTGTCAGACCTTGGCAACCCCGCACAACTAATACGGCGGTGTAAACAGACGTTGAGCAACACCAATAGTTCCCTCAGGATCGGGAAGAACCTCTCCGAGCAATATTGCTGGAGAAAATAATACGAGCTAAATAGTGAAGGTAAAATCTTCTATAAGAGTGTACAACTGCTGACGTTCGCCGATGATGTTGATATTCCAGACTGGATAAGGAAGCGAAGTGGTTGTGAACGAGGACAAGACGAAATATCTCCTGTCATCACACAAACAGTTATCGCATTGCGACTTGGCTCACACGTCACTGTTGACAGTCATATCTTTGAAGTCCTAGACAAGTAGTAATTATTAACACTAACAATAATATCAACCTTGAAAACCAAAGCAGAATCACTGAGTAGGCAATTGAAAAGTAAAGTTCTCTGTCGACGAACAAAGACCAAACTCTACAAGTCTCTCATCATTCCCGTTCTGTTATATGATGTAGAGGCATGGACAATGACAACACCTGATGAGTCAGGAGTGTTCGAGAGGAAGGTTTTGACAGGGGCTACGTTAGCTAGGTCATGTTGTCCGGATGGATGAGAACACTCCAGCTCTGAAAGTATTTGATTCAGTACCCGCCGGTGGAAGCAGAGAAGGAGGAAGACCTCCACTCCGTTAGATAGATCAGGTGGAAAAGGACGTGTCTGGCCTTGGTATCTTGAATTGGTGCCAAATAGCGGAAAGAAGAAACGAGATTAAGACCTGGCTCTACACCAACTTTATTCATGTTCAGCACTAAATCATTAAAATAATAAGGAAACTATTATAATTATATTATAGTATAATATAATTTCACATATTTTTGGCATTAAACTAAAGTATATCCAATATTATTCTTTCAGTTAATTTTGGTAAAATACCTCACATATTGACCGATATATACGGTATAAGGCAGGATTTATTAGGTACATGGGTAGTATTGACTTGATTAAATGTATTTTGGGCATTACTACATATTATTAATAGAAACAGATGCTCTCTTCATTAAGGTACTTCACATACCATGAACAATATATAAAGAGTCAAGTCAACCGGATGTTTGAAATCCTGATAGATGTTAAATGGGGGCTAAGGCAAGTTTGCACCCGATTTCATCCATTTGAGACACAGAGCTGCAAATACGCACACTCAGTTAAATTAAGATAACTTACTTGTATATATTGGCGGATATACCATGTGTGGTATAATGTGTGGTATAAAGTCAGAAGTCGAAAATCTTTCGTTTAGGTACAAACATATATGGGAGCAAAGGGACGTATATATATACTATTATCAATCTTAATTTTAATTATATATCTCACACATTGAACGATATTATCGGTAAAAAGTCAGCTCTAGGCTCTGGGGAACACATTTCCTCTATCAGGAGGCTTGAATGGTTATGGTCTGATTTTGATAATTTTTATACCTAAGACGCACTGTTGGTATAAAGTTTTATCTCGATATATTTATTGGTGCTTGATTTGTATACCGGAAAGTGAAAAAATCAAAAGGAATTTAAAAGTTGTGTTGTGTTATACGGAAAGTAAGCGTGATTGCAGGCCGATTATGCCCACTATGACATGGGAACGCCAAATTAATCATGTGTGCCAAATTTGGTTGAAATTGGTCGGATTGGAACAGGGAGTAACCTAAATATGAGTGGTGCTACACCCTTCGTCCAATTTTGACACCTACTCCTATAAAGCTCTCTTGTGCCATCCTGGATGTAAAATTTAATGTCTCTGACTCATTCAGTTATTGATTTTTCGCACTTTTAGAAGTTTAACCAAACCCTTATACAAGTATGGGGAGTGTGCGTGGTTATCAGCAGAAAGTGGTGTCGAAATGATTTGTCTATTGCAAATAAGTCTTCTTCTAGACGACTTTGACAATTAGCGTCAGGTAAACAACCTTACCATCTTTTGCCTATTGGTCAATGTCGAACCTTGATATGAACAAGTAGTTCAAAAGACCAATTGCGTTATATTCTGGACCAGAAGGTGTCTACATCCACTGGTCTTTGATCATCTAACGTTAGACCGTAAGATGGAGTTTGAACTCTTTCTCCAGTCTGATTATATTGAGACGAGAATGACATTGTACAAATATAAGAAAAAAATAGCTCGTTTATTGGCTGCGTACTTTACCTAAATTTATTCAAGCGATCGGATTAAACTGGTAAAATGAACGAACTTGATCCACCATATTTATTATATTTTCTTAAAGTCGCATACCCTTGTATCGAAATCGATGATGAGTGCTGTTCCAAGCAACTAAGTTTTATCATAAGATAGCGCTGTACTAAGTTACGTTAATGTTTCAAGTTTTAAACAAGCTTTTAAATGTATTCATGAGATACTAGAATTAAGCTTAATTTGAATACAGAAGTAACAAAGTAATAATTGCAATTTATAAAAGTGGGTGGCCTTCTGAGTGTAAGACCCCTCATCATCTTATTTTCAAAAATTTAAATTTTTATGGGAAATAAATTTCCAAAAAGAAATTAGCTTTACCGTTATTGGTTGTGAGTAATTCACTGAATCTAACCTTATTATTCAGTGGGTGAGCGGGAATTAAGGGATGCGGGTTTTATTTTTAGAAAAGTCTTTTTTTTTACGCTCTTATATTTGAAACATATTCTAGTTATAAAGGAATTGTGCGGTTTGCCAAAAGCAGCGTAAACTGATTACTATTCCGTTCTTCCAATATTCCGAGCATATTTACGTTGAAAAGTTACTTTTTGGGTCTTTTTCAGTAACAAATAATAATAAATTTTTTAATCAAATATTTCAAAATTTATGACTGAATACGTGTTTTGCAGGGATTTTTACATTTCTGCTTTAATATGAAGAAAACCTCAGCCAAAAGCCACCATATATTGTTGGATGTTTAAGGTGAACATGCATTGAACGATGCAAAAAGAAGTCATCTTTGCAAAGAAATAAATCCATTACAAACACCCTAAACAGAAAAAATTAATCAATGGCAAAGCCAAATATCCATGACGCCAAGTTAATGCTCTGTATTTGATGGGATCAGAAGGGTGTGCTATTTATGAGCTTCTAAGATAAGTGAAGCTATTAATAGGGAAAGCTACCGATTGTCGAAAAATTTCGGAATCCGCAACTAGACACGAGATAATAATTTTCCATTATGAAAACGCTCGACCTCATGTTGCAAGATTAATTAAAAACTATTTGGAAAACAGCGGCTGCGAAGTTTTGCCTCACTCGCCCTACATCCCAGACCTTGTCTCTCTTGACTACCATTTGTTGCGGTCGATGCATAAGGCTCTCACTGAAATACGGTTCACATCAAAATAGGATAACAAAAATTTGTTGGCGCAGTTTTGTCGCAGATGGGAAAATGTTATAGCTTCGGATGGGCAATACTTTGAGTAATAATATTGTTCATGTTTTTCTTAAATAAACGTTCACATTAAAACAAAAAAAAAACATACGAATATAGTTATAGACCTAATAGCATATTATAGAACAAATTGAGTACAATAGGGTTAACGGTGGTCTCTTTTTTAGTATAAGTTTAATTTCATCGACATTTTCAAGGAACTATTTGGCAGATTATATTATCCTTTTTAGACTATAAACCACAAATATTTTAAATCTTTTTAAAATAAAAGTTAAAATATGCCACTCGAATGTGTGGCATTAAACTTTATTTTGATCTTTCAAACTTTAGGAGTTATTGAACAATTAAAGAAATATTAAATACATATACAAAGAATCTGACAGCGAAGTAAATGACATATTGAAATAAATAGGCAAAACATTTACTAAAATAAATCACTATTCTGAAACAAATTATACCAAAACCCATTTGAACATATATTCAATTAGTACATTACATTACTTAATTTATTATATTTAATTAGTTAATGTCCGTAGTTAATTATAATATTAGGCTTCGCTCCGTGGTACATATATAGTTTAACGATGGTTAGTGACTTGCGTCGGTACATACCCTTGTTTTGTGAACCTTCGTTTTTAGTTGAATGTGTTTTCGTGGAATGATTTGAATAGCTATTCTTAAAATAATCGGCGTTGCCATCATTTTCTCTGCCACTAGCATTACCTATCCCAATCTCTTCAGCGTTGGAAATAGAAGCAGGTGAAATATCGGTTTTCTCAATGCTGTGTGTGAATTTATAATTCGGGTCCTTGTTATCAAGCTCAACATTATTGGCATCGTACTCTGTTGTTGATTGGGTGGATGAGAGATTTTGGTACATAAGCGGAGTGATTTCCGGTTGTAAATCGTTGGTTTTCTCTTTTTTAGGTTGGTGATCTTCACATCTATTCTCTGTTTCTCTTCTTTCGCTGTTTATTATTTTCTCCTCCTCCACTGTTGCAATAGCCTCGTCCGCTTGTGTATTTGGTGGAATTTGAGTAGTAGGCTTTCCTGCTTTAAGCTGTAAATAGCTTTGTAATCGGTGGAGCAACACATCCTTTTTGCCGACAGGACTTAAGCCATGTACACGCAGCTGGGCGCGCAACTGTGATATTTTTAGCGTCGCGAGGTCCTCCTCTTCTTTGACGAAGCAAAAGAACACGCGCGTTATGTGTGTGGGCGTAAGTGTTTTGGCAAGAATGTGGTTGATATTATATAAATATGTAAAATAAAAAGAAAAAGTTAACCTTGTATGGCGATGAGCAATGGAAGCGCGCGCTCGGCACCGCTAGTGGTGACCACTAGCAGCTGCAAGCTGGCAGCAGATTCATCGTACCTTTTGCGAGATTTTCATCTGCTTTAAGCAATTGATGTGGTTTGAAATTTTGTGTTTGCATGCTTTTTGCTAAAATGGTGCTCTCTTTGGCGGAAGGCTCTGCATTTGCATTTACAGTTTCACTTTTGCCTTTGAACGAAACATAAAAGTAGAAACAGAAGAAAGAAAAGAGGAAAATAATTTTGAAGAAATGCAAAAATAACTAAAGAGGTATGCAAGTAATCACATTTTATACAGTCTCGGGGAAACTTAAAAGCGGGTGCGAGCGGGATTAGTACATTGATGTAAGTTTATTGAAATGAAAAAGATATTCCATGGGCACCAAACCGGAGTTTAAATGATGTGAAATGGAAAATGTTAAACATTTGTCAATGATGAAACTAATGTCAAAATGAGATGAAACTAAGGATGTGTGTAGGAATTATTATGTGAAACAAAAAACGATTATATTTAAATAATTTAACTATGCAAAACTCATAGATGGTTAGGGCAGTTAGTTATACAAAAAAATATCATACATAAGTAATATTAATTTATTACACAATAATGTTACTTCTACTTTGGGAGTGCCTAAGGGTACGATTTTAATTAATGGTAAAATAGTATGTTAATTTATCATTATCATAATTTTTACTTAGCATAAAAAATGTTAATTTGTTTTGACGGAAAGATCGTGAAACAAAAGTTTCCTCCCTTGCATTAGTGTACAAAGCTTAGCTCGGATACTGTTAAATGTTTGTGAAATTTCATCTAATGGTTCTCAAGTTATTGGCTTTAAGGGGACGCTGGCTTTACTAGTTTTATTACAATTTAACAAACACCGTTGATGCAAGCAATTACTTGTTAGGAGTTACGAGAAATCTGCACCAGCATAATCAACGGTCTACTTGTAGTACTGTTTTGTTGAGTTACGTCTAAACTGTACTATCAGAAGGCAATAACAACAGAAAATTTCGAGAAGTTATAGAATTGTATTGCTCGTACGAATATGAGCACTGAAGATGATCAACCCAGTGGAAGTCCAAGAGAACTTGTTATTGTCAAAAATGTCAAAAAATTTCACACAATAATTTTGGATGACCGTAAAATGAGGTCGACTCATTGATATTATAGGAATATATTGATCTTTATTATTTGGGAAAGCGAAAGTTTTGCCCAAAGTAGATACTGAGGAAACTCACAATCTATCGAAAATATTACCGAACTAATATGAGTCGTATTAAATCCGAAGTTTTGGTCCCATAATTTTTCTCCGAAATTCAATCCACACATAATAAAAATCATAGGAAGACTCAAAATTCAGCTGCCTAAGTAAAGTTTTTTAAGCTTAAGTCCTATATTTTGGAAGACGTTTGAACTATTTTGAAAAAAAAAACATTAAACTAATAACAGTCGCATTAAGCCTTACTAGAAATCGAATGAAATAGATAATTTTGAAGAAGAGTCTACGCATCTACCAATAGGGATGACGTGATTTTGACAGTGAGGCCCATTTCTGGCTTAATGACTGCGTCAACATACAAAATTGTCGCTATTGGGTTGAGTCAAATCCTCGTGTGGTGCAGGCAATCGCATTCCCAAAAATTGACCGTCTGGTGCGGATTGTGGTATGGTGACATCATCGGGCCTTAGTTCTTTTGAAATTTTGCAGGAAATGCCGTTACCATCAACAGCGAGCGTTCTAACAACAACAAGCCGGCGCGCCGTCTCATGCTTCAGGTCTAAACATGGACACATTGCGTGCAAAGTTTGGCGGTTTGTTAATGGTCGCCAAGATCATGCGCTTTAACGCCTCTAGATTATTTTCTCTGGAGGTATGTGAACGTGAACGCTCGAGGAGCTCGACGACAAATTCAGCACACTATAGCCGAAATTCCAGTCGAAATGCTGCACCGCGTCATTGAAAATTGGAGCAAACGCGTGGAGATATGCAAACGGAGCCGTCAAAAGAAGACGAGTTCAATCATAAATGACATTGGTAAACCTTTTAGACAGGCAATGTATGCCATTGACAAGCAATGAAAACTATAACTAAATTGTATGATTAAGGCTTCGGATTGCTTTCGCATTCACCGTAACCAGCGACTTTGGCCCCCAGTAGACTTTTTTATACCGTGACCTCAAGCGAATGGTCGCTGGAACGAAACTTAGCGGCAGTGAAGAGGAACGCGCGAGATTGAAGCCTATTTTGAAGCATAATTCTAAAATAATATTATTACAAACAATTTATAAAAAATTGGTAGATCCCTATAATATGTTTGGCAGATCCCTATAATATATCTATTGCTCCCGTTGGATGTTGTATTGAATAAAAAATTTGAATTTTGTTAACGAAATGTTCTCTTTGCTCATCTCAGCTCTGCTCCAATATGAATGCTGTCTTAATCCATTCGTAACTTGTGATTTTAAGCTATATTGGCTTTTATTTTCTTTTAGAAATGTATTTATTTACAATAAAATATTTTTATTCTATCTCATCTATGCTGTTTTATTGATTCACCAAATTGAAATAAAATTCGGTTTGTAAAATATCTCGAGTTCTTGGACCGATAGATGAAACGAATGTGGTTTCATACATACAAAAAACGTAATTTATGAGAGTACCGATCGTGTATATACAGTTTTATTTATTGCACGATATTAAAACCATTAAGCAGCAAGTACATAAGGCCTAGTATAAAGAAATCCATTATTACTTAAATAGAATGAATGTATTTCGTGTTGTATCTCGGGTTACATTATATGGCAGTTTTGTGATTGCTGACTCAGTACTGTTTGAGCACGCAACAAAGAAAAAAACTACGACAAATTTCTCAGTTTTTCTTCGATAAAGGCGAAAAATCCTGAAAATGGTTCTCGAACAGCTAATCATGCCCATTTTTGGTTTCGTCGATTTCGTTCCGGTAATTGTAATGCCAAAGACACATCACGGTCAGAAAAGCCAATAACGAACCGCAACTAAATCGATAACTTTTTGAAGCGGATGATTACTGGTGGTGAAATGTGGGTCACTTACGACAATGTCAAGGGAAAACGGTCCTCCACCAGAGGTAAGATATTATTCCACAGCTCATCAGTCGTGGTCGAATCGCAAAGAGATGACGCAAACGGTGGTCCAGCCAGGACTGACGGCCAGGAAGATTTTGATTTATGTTTAGCGCGATTGGTCAAATACTTGTGAAATACGCAACAGATAAGAGGTGACCAGCTGTGGCCAATAGGATTCCTCTCCTATCAGGATAACGCCAGGGTACACACATCGTTACTGAGTCGCCAGAAGCTCTGGTAGCTTAGATGGGAGGTTCTATGCATCCATTTTATAGTCCGGACCTGCTACATAGCGCTATTGCCTATTCCTGCCTATGCCTGAAGAGAAGCTGGTGAAAATCGACTGCTTCTTTTTTTGCCAATAGGGTCTAGGACTTCTATGAGAGTAGCATTATGAAACCACTTTCAAAATGGCAACAAATTATCAAACAAAGCGTTGCAAATTTCTCCTGGATGATTCTAATTATTCTTAATAAAACTTTAATAAAAAATAATGGATTTCATTTTCGACAGCTTATATGTAGTGTATAGAGTTTTTGGTATGACATGACGTATGAGCAACATCTGCAGTTGCATGTTTATAGCAGTTCAACAGTGCCTAAAGTCATCGTTTAAACTAACGTTTATTTCTAACTATTGGAAGAATTTCAAAGCTTATTATTGCTTATTAAATACATACTTGTAAGTTATTTATTTAAACAATGTTTTAATAGACCTTTAAAATATCCAAAATAAAGATAACAAGGACTTAAAATTTTTTTCTCAGTTCCAACAAGTTCTGTGTAAATTTTGGTTGTAAAAGAAATTTTTTGATATTCCTATGGTCAGCAGTACACATTTTCAGAATCCTCGGGTTCTATTATTTGGAAAATTTTGAATTTGGCCTTCGAAAATATTAAATTTTAACCATTATTACAGGCCTAGTAAGCAATTAACTGAATCATTTATTGAGCTACATAAACACTATTTATTTCACATATTTGCTTTTAAGAGTTTGTGTAAACATTTATTTATTCACAGCGTGCCCTATTGTTTGGACGATTGTAACGAATTGACTTTTGAAAACATCAAAAATAGGTTCGGGACAGAGTCACAGTCTGTGCTATGGCGGCACAATGGGCAATGGCTATTTTCGAACGTCACAAACGCGCAAGGACAAGCGGTAAGTAAGAAAGGTTTTTGGTAAATAATTATTGTTAATATTTATATATTAAAATCTATGGTTTTGAAAGATTTAGAAAAATCATAAATTCAAATTAAATTGACCAAGTAAACTGCTATCATTTGTAAATCATGGCTTCATATCGAAATAATTTTCACCTGTTTTGCACATTCGGAAGCAGACTCAAGTGGCTTTATTGAAATGCACAAGAAGCTCATGTAACTAAAAGTAGTCGATATTTTTTTTTGGAATGCAGTATAGTACGTGTCAAACGGCTTACAAGCTTGTCTGGTGGATTACAGCAAAACAACTGACTAATGTGTTTGTGTATCCGGCGATGTGAAGTGAATAATGGCAAATCTTTCCGTTTCACTGGAGCAGTGGCAATACACTCGAGAAAGTATGTAATGTATAGTGAAAATATACGCGAACACGATGAATTCAAATTCTAAGGATTGGCCAATTTAAATGCCAGCTATATGTCGCAGTGGTTTAATCTAAAGAAAATGGGATATACGACGTTACCTTTTGGGTGTTCCAACAACGTGGCAAACATATATATTTTAATACACCTATTTTAAATTTTGTTGAGCAGATTAGCACAATTGCTATATATTGCTATATATCTGGTACAGTCAGGTCAGGTGACCTTGAGGGCCAGCAAAAAGAGGAGTTTCTTGATCTTACTTTGTTTTAAAATTTTCGTTGGATCTCCATAATAACTGGGGTGGGTATGTGTGCAGTTGCTCCATTTTGCTAGAACCTAGCTAATGAAAGGGATATGTCTTCGGCGCAGTTCTGAGAAAAAAACTTATTCAATATCTTTAAAAATCGGTGTTCATTGACAGTTATTGTCACACAGTTTTCTTCAAAGAAGTATGGCTTGAAAACACACCTTGATGAAATTGCGCCCCACACA